AAACTTTTCAAGAAAGCCAACTTTTAAGCTATTTGAACATGCACGACATCCAATCAATCATTAATAAAGAATTCCATGTTGTCTTCCCACCACCGATTTAGCTGCCGTTTGTTTTCCATTTTTTAGTAAGAATGCATTTAGAATAGTTAATTGATGAAGAATGTATAGTTAAGAAATTGGAAAAAAATTTAGTTTTGCGTGCAATATTATTTTATTAAAAATGTGTGGTTGAAAAGAAGTGAGAAAAAACGGGTATCAAACAAGGGCTAAATTTGAGAATTAAAATATTCAGTAGATTTGTATGTTTCTTAAGAACTAAACTGTTTTGTAGAGACCCTCAAGAGAAAATGTTTAAATTGAATAGACATCTGTTCCTATCATATCTTGGCAATTTCTGCTGATCGTCTAGGAACAATCCAAATATAGAGACTTTAAAAATATCCAATAATTGCAAAAATAAAAAAATAAATAAGAAAAGGAAAAAAAAGGAAAAAAAAAAAAAAAAGAATCTGACGGCCATCAAGATTTAGGACCATATTGATTGAGACATTTAAACTAATTAGATCGATAATCCTTAATAAGAGAGTTGTATGCTCCAACATAAAAAATTAAATTCTTAAAGATGGGACAATTTTAATTAAATTATGTCTTGTAGCCATCAGATTCATATTTCTTAAGACTGGTACATTTACAAGTTTCACAAAATGAATAGCGATAAAACATGAACTCACAGTCTCACCTACGTGATCTTCTATCATGATCTAAAAATTTAAATTGTAAGAAATGAAATATTTATTTAAATGGATTATGTTTTTAACGTATAAACATAAACCATAATTCATAAAAATGAAAATTTGAAATTGTGTGAAAAACAAAATGCCAACCAAACAGGTCGACATTTTAAGATTTAAAATTCTAAACCAGGTCTGGTCACGAGCTTTGATTCGAGGAAAATGTCAAATAAACATTATGGTTGACACAATGGGTGATCGCACCCTCACATGTCGAGGTGGGTCCGAAGTAATTAAAAATATACCGACCTCCATATATAAGTGTGTGCGGTCATCCGTGCGGGTCATGTAGCTCGTCCTTGATTCGAATACAATGCAGTGCCTTATATGAGAATCAATTAATACGTATCATTTGATTCAAATATAAGGCACTGACTTTCAGGAAGGGAAAAAAAATAACATTCACACACACACGGCACTGCCAAACAGGACACTCATTTTGGGCTCTCTTTTTTTTCATTTTATTTTTTCATTTTTCATTTTTGAATTCAAAATTTTAATAACAATTGTGGTTCAGTTTAAGTCCCCGTTTGGCCTCCATTAATTCCAATTTCATTACATTTCATTTTTTCCTCTCCTATTTTCAACCACACAATCTTTCATAAAATAATATTACACATAAATCGAAAACTTTTCCTTTTTTTCAACCACTCATTTTTCAAAAAAATAATGTTCCACCCATTTTCATTTCCCCAAAATGAGGGCTAAACCGGTCTTAGACGCTCTAAGGACAGACGTACAAACTGGTCTAGGTGTCATAGACTTCAATGCTAACTCTAATGTTCGTGATGACCATTGGGACAAGGGAGAGTTTGATTTGACATATGAGTTTTATAGGTGGCCATAATGACAAGAAGTTCGTGCATTGAGCAAAAGACCTTAGAAATGGAGTTTTAGATAGTCATGTTTCGAAGAGCTTGCCTAAGGAGTTGAAAGCTTCCTACCAAGACAGACGACCATCGGAGTCCATTTAGTTAGTAATCATAGGGACCAAAGACAACATCATCAAGCAGTAGTGTTGTCTGAAACTTTGTGAACTGATGTTAGCTTCGTTATGGATCAAATGGAGTGTCATTTAACAGTTGAGAGCGTCAAATATGTAAATTATGATACATCGACCAAAAAAGGTCTATAGGTGTCACTTGATTTTTTCTTGCTAAGTATATTATAAAGGGGAATGCTTGGTGATCAGTTACGTAAGCCTACCCCGTCCCAACGAAAGGAAATCTTGCTGGCGATTTTTATGCACTAAATGTGCAATTCTTAGTGATTATGTGGGTAACTAAGGACCTACTTAAGGCACCTCTAGGAAGGGCTAAGTATTTATACAGGTCGAAAACCCATCGAGCAATGTTGTGCCCTCATGGTTTTCATTGGGCACCTAGAGGAGGCCTAAGGTAACAATATAGCATTGCTATGTTTTGGACTAAGTCGACCATACGATAACACCTCTAGACCAAATGAGTCATCGAGTCAAGTACTCTAAAGACCTTTTTTGTGTTGGCTATGGGTTCTGAACTTGTCGTGGGAGTCCAATGGCTAGAGTTGCAGTCATGGGATGACGATGTATAGTTGGACAACTACGGCAATAAGTTGGTATTTCTAGAACGAGTATGCTATTAATCATATATTAACGAATGAACTTACTTGAATTAAGCATTGACGAAGGACATAGCTACAAACATAAACTAAAATACCCATAGAAAGTGGAGCACAAGGATCGTGTTGTGGGCACGCGAATGACTCTCAATGCTACAGACGAAGTAAGAAAAACTCCTTTTAAGCGAGTATACTTCAAGAGGACAGTATGTTGTGCATGAGCGTATGAACAAGCTAGAAAATGTGCGGGCATGTGCGTTTTGGCACCAAGTGCATGGATGCATTTTGGTGTTTACACGTTAATAAGTATTTTGGACGAAATTTGCAACTAGTCATGTCTAGACTCATAATGAAAAATAACGGAAGGTAGTCAAATCAAAAGAAGTGAGACTATTGTTGCATGAGTGTGAAAAAATATCTCGTTGGGAAATTTAGAATCGAGATGTATCACTACGTCCAGTTCAGACCATGAAT